TTCTTTTTTCAAATACGATGCATGCATGGATTTTCATTTATTCAATAGTTTACAATTGTGATGTTGCGATATAATAAGTAATACCTATTTGGTCTTCGTCCATGGTTTTTTCGAACAGCTCCGGAGCAATAAAGGTGAAAGGAGAGTCTTTGTTATTCATAACAAGCCCCTTTCAACCACACCAGAGTTTATGTTAATGAGGTGACTTTTGGAAAGCCACTAAGGTTGGGGGACACTGGTTGTCAGGGGAACCAACCACGTGATTAGAGAGTTGAAACTTTCAGCCTCAACACTGCCCCACCCTCACCCCAACCTCCATTGCCAATGGCCAACGATTTAATGAATCATGCCTAGTAATGAAGCCTCCAGTAAAAAAGCCTCCATAAAAATCCTAATCAAACTGGGTTCAGATTGCTTCCAGATTGCTAAATACTTGGAGTGCTGGGAGGGTAGTGTGCCCAGAGAGAGCACGGAAGCTCCACACCCCTTACCCCATACTGTTCCCTATGCATCTCTTCCTTCTGGCTGATCCTGAGTTGTATCCTGTTGTAATGAACCAGTAATCTAGTAAGTAAACTGTTTTCCTGAGTTCTGGGAGCCATTCTAGCTAATTATTGAGCCCAAGGAGGAGTCATGGGAACCTCCAATTTATAACCAGTTGGTCAGGAGTAGGGGAGGCCCAGACAGGCAGTTGGCCTCTGAGTAGGGAGCAGTCTTGTGGGACAGACCTGTGGGGTCTGGGCTAACTCCAGGCAGCTGGTGTCAGAACTGCTTGGTTGTGGAAAACCCATACATTTGGTGTCAGAAGCGTTTTATGATGTTGTGAGTAGCAGTGTATAGGAAGCAAGGGAGTTTTTCCTTTTTCACAATAATTGGCCAGTGGGAGATCTCTTCAAACCTGCTCCTTTGACCTTTGAAACACTCCTTGCAGTCCTCCCTGCTTTCTGGGACAAACTGGCCCAGTCCCACTTAGATTTCTAGATGGGCCATTTCTCTCCAAGGAGCCCTGGTTCCTTTTAGTGGGGAATGGTATTAGATATCAAGATTTGGGTGCTACATGTGCTCATTCCTACTGGGGGCCATTGCTTCTGGGTCCTTTCAAAGGACATAGCTGGGACTTTTTTCTTATTTTTGAATCGTGAGTTCATCATCTTTTTTTTTTTTAATATATTTATTTTATTTATTTATTTTTGGCTGCATTGGGTCTCCATTGCTGCAAATGGGCTTTTCTCTAGTTGCGGTGAGCAGGGGCTACTCTTCGTTGCGGTGCACGGGCTTCTCATTGCGGTGGCTTCTCGTTGCGGAGCACGGGCTCTAGGCACGCGGGCTTCAGTAGTTGTGGCTCATGGGCTCAGTAGTTGTGGCTCGCAGGCTCTAGAGCGTAGGCTCAGCAGTTGTGGTGCACGGGCTTAGTTGCTCCGCAGCATGTGGGATCTTCCCGGACTAGGGCTCGAACATGTGTCCCCTGCATTGGCAGGCGGATTCTTAGCTACTGCCAAGATACTTAGTCCCTGAATCATGAGTTCATACTGATGTTTCCAATTCAAATTTAAAATGAAAGATTTTTCTTGTGTCTCTTTCCTCTATTTTTTGTTTTGTATTTCTTCCCTTTCTTACACAGAAGCATATTCTATGTACTGTTCGGCACCTTGCCCTTTTCATTTTCTCTCTCCTGAATATCATGCCAAATTTGGCCACAGAGATCTTCCTCATTCTTTTTTTTTTTTTTTCCTAATTTATTTATTTATTTATTTAGGCTGTGTTGGGTCTTCGTTTCTGTGCGAGGGCTTTCTCTAGTTGCGGTGAGTGGGGGCCACTCTTCATAGCGGTGCGCGGGCCTCTCACTGTCGCGGCCTCTCCCATTGCGGAGCACAGGCTCCAGACGCACAGGCTCAGAGGTTGTGGCTTACGGGCCCAGTTGCTCCGCGGCATATGGGATCTTCCCAGACCAGGGCTCGAACCCGTGTCCCCTGCATTAGCAGGCAGATTCTCAACCACTGAGCCACCAGGGAAGCCCCTTCCTCGTTCTTTGTGGCTCAAAGGGCCTTACTTTTTTAAATTTTTTATTATAGAGATTTTAAACATACATGAAGGCACTCCTCCTCATTAGGGAGGACGCCCACACCCTTTCTCTCTGGGTGTGTATCTCTGCCTTGCTTCTGTCTTAAAAAAACAGTTTCTCTGTGTGCTCTCCAAAACAAAAAAACAAACACACAAAATTAGAGAGTACCCATCACTGAGCCTTATCAACTGCCAACACGTGCCCAATGTGCAGCGGGATGCTGTGAGGTTGGCACATGGGTTGGGAATTTTCAGTCCAGTGGCCATGGGGGCAGGGACCACTGCTCCCTCCATCCCTCCAAACACCTGGGCACTTATCTCACACCAAGCACTTGGGACACAGCTTTGTTGGGTTGTGTTGTTTCCGCTCATAAGAGAACCGTGTCTCAGCCCAATGTGTGGACAGAAGTGTTAAGGCAGTAGTGTTATCAGAGATGTGGGAGCCCTGAGAAAGGAGCAACTAACACCCAGGTGAGTCAGGAAGGGGTTAAGAAAATCTGAACTGCATCTTGAAGGTATCTGTGCCCAGGTAGGGAGTGATACAAGGGCAATGGTGAGAAAGTTGGGAGAAGCCAAGGATGGGGGCATGGGCAGGGTCGTTGGCGGGAGGGGTGTGGAGGGGGGGAGACTGGCGAGGTGATGAGAATGCTTGTGGCCTTGCCTGCCAGGCTGAAGCGGGAGGGCACATGACGTGGCCAGAGCTGGGGTGCAGGAAGATGCTCCGCAGAGCCGGACTGGAGCTTGGATGGGAGTGGGAGAGTGAGAAAGACAGCTGATGAGGCCGAAGCAATCAGTGAACTGAGGCAGCAATAACAATGGTGGGGGAGGGGTTTCTGAAGTGACCCATTGGTTGTGGGGTAGAGCACAAGGGTCCAGGATGCAGCTGTGAGCCCTGGATGATCATGATGCCATCACCCAAGATGAGGACCACAGGAAGAGGGTAGGGGATGTATCGGTGGGTGGGAGTAGGGTTCAGCTTGGACAGGCGGTTTGCAAGCAGGGACAGAGGACTTTGGACCCACGTGCTGGGGACACACAATCTCCAGAGAAAGCTGATAATCCGCCCGTGGCACCCTCAGTGGAACTAAGGTGAGCAGGCACCAATCCTGTTTTATAGGATAAACTGAAATTCAGCGGTATTAAAGACCTTCACCCCACTCACAAGGCTTGTAAGTGGAACAACTGCCAACTCTGGGCTGCCCAACCCCAGACTGTGTTCATTCCCCAGGGCCCCAGTGGCTGGGCCCCGCAGGGGAAACAGTCATTACTGATCCCACCGGACAGCTTGATGGCCAGGATGGGGGTGCCCAGAGCACAGTCAAAGGCCAGGAGCCTGGCCAGTTTTATCATCCCGGGAGTTTGCTCCCCTCCTTGGTCTAAAACAAGAAGGAACTGGATTGGCCAACAACAGACATGTGTAGAGTACTTTATAGTTAATACAACTTTTGCATAAATCATCTCATTGATTCTCCACAACCACCTTAAGAAGCTTTATTACCATGATCTGACAAAAAAGGCTTTACAGAAGTAAGGGCCCAAGACACGACTCAAACTCGTTTTAAACTGGGATCCAGAGCAGAGGTGCTGACCCCGCTCCTGCTGTCTCCACGGTCCCACGCTGCCACCCACACAAGCTCCACGGGGCCCTTGTGGAATGAGGGGCCCCTGTCGGAGGAGGCTGCAGGGCAGGAAGCCCCTCCTGACTCAGGGGACAGCAGCCCCTCTCCAGGGTTGCGACGTCTTCACCAAGGAGAGGGGAGAACCGACCTCTTCTGGTGCCGAGTGTGTGTTTGTGGGGAGGGGGCGAGTGTGACTCGATCTCTCTTTTGGGGACCACAGGGCAGGGTTGTCACACCCCTCTGGTCATGCAACAGTATCGGGCACAACCTAGGGACCACCTTTCTAACCCCCTGCCCGCCCCAGGGAAGCAACACTGCTCTTCACAGCCCCGCTTCCTTCTCTGAACGCAAAGCCCTCCCGCTGGAGCAGGGAGCTGCCAAAGAGCAGGAAAGGCAGACCCGTTCTCTGCGGCCTCGGACTCCAGGCCTGGCAGCGGCTGGGAAATCTGTTTTGGCCCCAGAAGGAGCCCGGTGGCCACTGGCGCTGCCCGGGTGCTGCTGTGGGGCAGAGATAACCGGCACAGGAAGGGTGGGGTGGCGGGAGCCTCCCAGGAGCCGGGTTTCAGGTAAACAATGAGCGGCTGCCCAGCCGTGCCAGGAGGTGACTCATCTCCCCACAATGGGCCTGCTCACACCTCGCCCCCTCCCTGCATGGGCTGGGGGTCAACCCCAGCCCTCCTGGTCACTGGCTTGACTTCAAAAGCTGGGGTGTGTCCAAGAAGTGGTCTGAGGAGAGCTCAACTGCCCCCAAGGGAGTAGAGGCCTGGGCTCCTGCCTGAGGACTGTCTGAGTTGCAGGCTCAGGGTAGCAGACAGCGGGAACTGGGGCCTCCCCTGCTCTCTGGACCCCGCCTGCCCACGCCAAGAGGTGTTCACTGGGAATGACCTTAGTGACTTCCTGGGCCACCTTCTCCGAGCAGCACCGCAGGCTTTGGTCATGCCACTGTCAACCCTGACAATCCCAGCCAAGATGGGGGGGACCCTGGAGCTTTCACATCTGCCTGGAAACAGGGTGTAGGAGAGGCCAGTGCATCCGAGATGCTGAGATGTAAGGATGCGCTCCTCTCAACAGGGCGGCAGACCCCACAGCAGGGCGGACACTGTCCACAGTGCCCCACTCTGCTGCAGCAACGTCTCTTCCAGCTGGAAGGCTGCACGGAGTCTCCTCTCGGGGTGGCACCCGCGGAGCAGGTCCCAGTCCTGAAATATACAAAGTGGCGCCTCCCAGTGGGCATAGGTCACCGGGCTGCAGTCTCGTCAAGCCCCAGAGTGGCTCCTCCCCTTGACGGAAAGGAGAATGTCCGGGCCACCCCGAGCTGGTCCCTCAGGTCACTGCTTGGCCTTCTTCACAATGGTGCCCACGGCAGAGATAACGGTGGTCTTGGAGCCACTGGCACTGGTGGTCACTGTGACGACAGCAGGCAGGGTGGCCGTAGTGGTGAGGATGGTGGGCTGGGCTATCGTCGTCACCGGGATGGCCGAGTCCCACTTGCTCTTTCTCTTCTGGGCGTCTGGGGGTAAAGGCAAGAGAGAAGCCAGATCAACACCAACCATGAAGCAACACTCCCTTTCCAGTAGGCTGGCAGTCAGAGCCCAGGGGGCAGAAACTGCAGGGCCCCTAGCCTCAGAAAGCCAAGGGGCAGCCAGTGAACCGGGACCCCACCCCAGGCTCCAAAGCGGGCACAGCACAAACCACAGTGAGGCCAGGCCCTGTTCCCCAAAACAAGGGAGGGAAGCCCTCGCTCCGTCTGTGGAGTAGGCGGGAAGCGGAGCCGCCGTCTACCTGCAACAGCTGTGCTGGCCGTGGCGGTGGTGGCGGCCGTGGCGTTGGTCGTGGTCCCTTTCTTGGTGCCCGTCACAAACTCTATCTGGAGAGCAAGAGGGACAAGCGTTAAAACCCGTGTAAAGCTATGTCTCCACATCATTCTGCCAGCTGTCTGCTCCCAGGGGACAGGAGATTGGCACCACACAGGAGGCACTGAGAATCAGCTCTGCTCTGACTGTCCAGGGGTAGGAGAGGTGCAGGGGAGGCGCTCAAAGGGGGTTTAATCCCCTGAAGAGAGCTTCCCCAACAGACATCGGGCCCCTCCCGGCACCAATGTGTCTCTGCGCTCGGGCAGCCCGGCCCGCCGCCCCACCTCAGGCCCAGGCCCCCGCCCTCACACTCCGTGGGAAGTGTGGCAGGGCAGGGTTGTCACACCCCTTGGGAAGCAGCGTGCTCAGGATCCTAAAAGGAGGGGTTGCCGGGCCATGAGACATGGGACCTACAGGGAAGCACTAAGGCAGGCTGCAGAGGTCAGCTCTGGAAGCCAAGAAAGGCACAGAGCAGAGTGCTCTGGGAAGGAAATATCTGCCTCCGTTCAGGCCAAGAACACCTAACCTATGATGACAAAGGGAGAAAGCCCCCAAGGGTCTATGGCTGTAACGTGTGTGTGTGTGTGTGTGTGTGTGTGTGTAGCAACTGGAAAGCGTCTATGGCTGTAACGTGTGTGTGTGTGTGTGTGTGTGTAGCAACTGAAAAGCGTCTATGGCTGTAACGGGTGTGTGTGTGTTTGCGTGTGTGTGTGAAGCAACTGGAAAGCGTCTTCAAGCTGAGTTAGGGAGGCTTAAAATCCAGCACAGGTCACACCTAAGGCTGCTCAGTGCATCGTCAGGCGATGAACCAGTGGTTGTGGGGAGAGCAGCCTGGACGTCCCAGGGCTTAGCCAGCAGGACCCGTGCGCTCCAAACAGCTGCTCTCTTCGTCAGGACTGCCGTCCACCACTTACTTTGGTTCGCTCCTTTTTGGCCTTTTCTAATTTGTCCATTTCAATCTTCTGGGCTTTGGCTATGAAGATAAGACGGGCAGTTACACAAGCAGCTGAAACAGCTCCCACACAAGGAGATCCTTCAGGCCGAAGGACTAGCACCTGCTGCTTCCCCGGGGCTCTTGTTTGAAGCATCCCTTTGTGATGGGCAAAATCAAGTGCCAGCGCTCGGCCAGCATGAAGCAGGGGCCTCAAACTTAAAGGCCCCGAGGCTGGGGCTGTGCACTGCCATCTGGAGGGGAATGCTGGCCTAGTGTGACTACCTTCTCAGCGACCAAGAGCAGCCGGAAGCTTGGATTTTTATTTTTTAATGTATGCATTTTTTTATGCATGTATTTTTAATGTATTTTTAAAAATAAATTTATTTTTAATGTATTTTTGGCTGTGTTGGTTCTTTGTTGCTGTGCGCGGGCTTTCTCTAGTTGCAGCGAGCAGGGGCTACTCTTTGTTGTGGTGCACGGGCTTCTCATTGCGGTGGCTTCTCTTGTTGCGGAGCATGGGCTCTAGGCGTGCGGGCTTCAGGAGTTGTGGCACGTGGGCTCAGGAGTTGTGGCACGTGGGCTCAGTAATTGTGGCTTGCAGGCTCAGTAATTGTGGCTCGCAGGCTCTAGAGCGTAGGCTCAGTAGTTGTGGTGCACGGGCTTAGTTGCTCCGTGGCATGTGGGATCTTCCCGGACCAGGGCTCGAACCCGTGTCCCCTGCATTGGCAGGTGGATGCTTAACCACCGCACCACCAGGGAAGTCCCTTAATGTATTTTTTAACGTATGTATGTATGTATTTGCCGCGCCACGCAGCCCACAGGACCTTAGTTTCCTGAGCAGGGATCGAACCCACGCCCCCTGCATTGGAAGCTTGGAGTCTTAACCGCTGGACCACCAGGGAAGTCCCTAGATTTTTAGATAAAACGTTGTCAACTAATTCAAATTAAAGCAAGACAAAACTCGTATGGGCCAAACAAAACACACCTACAGGCCAGATCTGGCTCACAGGCTGCTGGTTTGGGACCAGGCATCCGAGGAAATGGGCCCTTTGAAGTTTCTCCCAGTTCTCCCAGATGCGCCCCTTCCGAGATTGCTGCACTCCCGCTGGCTCCTGCCTGGGACACCGTCTACACCTGCTCGGCCAGTCTCTGCACCTTCAAACCTCGCCTCGGACCTGGTTTCCTCAGCGAGGCCACCCCACCCCTGGCCCAATTAGGTGGCCCTGCCTGCACGCCCACCATCCCCACACCTGTCATCGCTGGATCACTCCTTTAATCCTGTCTTCTTTGCTGTACTGTAAGCCTCATAAGTCAGGGATGGGGTCTGGACCTTTCAAGGCTGCATACCCAGCTCCTCAGACATGGCCGGACATGGAGGAGACCCTGAAATCTGTGCTGCCTGATGACTGGATGGATAGACAGACAGATGGGTGAGCAGGCAGACGGACAGCTACGCACCTAATGCCTCATAGTAGGAGTCTTCGGACCAGCCGTGGGGGTCAAACATATCCTGAAAAAGAAAAGGTTGAAGTGTCTTCCCTCAGTCTTTCCATGGATCTTCCTGGCCCGGAGTCTCCTGCCTTCAAGGGCACAGGGGCTCAGCTGTTATCCCTGGTCTCCAGCCAGTCCTCCTTAGGATTATGAGGGCAAAGATGCATTTGTACACAGGCTGTTCTACAGGGCACAGCGAGTCCATGCTCAGGCCCTAGCCAATCAGAGGCCCCGGGACTCAAACAAGGGAGACGGGGACTGCGCTGCTCAGCTGGCAGTGCTGCACTGTGGACCTTTCAGTGGTGCCAGGCTGGATCCAGCGGGATGAGCACAGGGCCCTGGGTACCCTCTCTCACCCTCAGCCTCTGTGGGTGGGACATACCTTCGGGTAGTTGGTGCCGAGCTCATCAATCGCACAGAACTGGATGAGCTTCTCATAGATGCTGAAAGAGGAAAACCACAAGGCGCTGAGCAGGCCTGAGACCCGGGGCCCTGTGTGGCACCAGATTTCAAGAGATCAGAACCATTTGGTGCCTGGGCTCAGGTGAAGCCTTTAAATCCGGCCAAACTGTTCTAAGCAAGCTTCTGGATGGAAGGGGAAATGTCCACTGGCTTGACATTAAAAGTCACTTCTGGCCCTCCAGCCTCCCAGAGAGATGGACTGGGGCCAGTGGCCAGGAAGAATATGGTGTCGAGGTGAGGGCTGCAGTTTCTGTTCTTAACCGGACATCTGACCTTCAGTGTGCGTGGTCTGCTCGGGGCCACCCCACTTAGGCCCACAGGGGCCAGGCCAGGTCTCGGCTATCCGCACACGAGGCTCTTTCCTGGGTGTGTCACTTGCTTGAGCACTGGACGGAGTAAGACCCAGACACAGTTCTGTTTCTCAAACCTCTCACCTGCGCACAGAATCAACCACCTTCTAGAGCTGGAAGGACCTGGGGTGATCATCTGGTCCAATCCCCTCATCAAACAGCAGCGGACACTGAAGCCTTGAGAGCCCACATGCTTTAGGAGCAGAGTGGGAATGAGAACCCAGCCAGGAGCCCCCGCCCAGCCCAGGTCTCTCGGCTTCCACTCTGCTTCACGTGTTCAATCTGGCTCTTCCACGGTAAACGGTAAGCCTCGGCGAGGGTAATGCAGTCTGGGTGATGGCCCTTTTGGGCTCAGGTGTGATCTGAGCTGGGCCTCTCCCTGCCACCTCCACGGTGGCACCCCCGTCCCCAGTCCAATATCAACCACCCAACTGGCCCTGCAGGCTCATGGGAAACTCACCTGGGATTCCGAAATTCCTTCTTCCTTTGGATAATGTAGTTCATATCCATTCCCTCTTTTATCTTCCGCTCATAAAGCTTCTGGATCTTGTCCTGTGGAAGAGAAACAGAAGGATGACTATGACAGAACCCCACCGCCTCATGATCCCAGTCTGTGGTCACACGTGCTGTGTGGACATGAGGACCCAGGAGAGCCACAGAGCCACGTGAAGCCCTGCTCTGGCCATACGGTCTTTCACCACCCAGCCTGTGACCAGCACCGAGCACAGATAAGATAGATGGAGACCAGTCTGCTTTTGCCTTGCTCTCTTCTGACCCCCTTTGGGTGGTTAGTAGAGGGAAGAATAAGAAGGTCAAGGCAGAGAAGCCACAGAGACGACAGTGAACAAATCCCCACTTGGTTCATCAGTTCCTGAATCACCTGAAGAGGTGTTTCAGGCTTTAGTGTTGATGGGCGGGGCTGAAGCTGGATTTTAATTTTACCATGGGGATAAGTCCTCAGCAGGAGATCTAGGAAGGCAGGAGTAGAGGTGTCACAAGCCTCCCCAGTGTCCTTTGAGGGGCGGCTCACAGATGGCCGGTCCCCACCACTTTATCAAGAGGCACCGTCAGGGGTCAAGAGGTCATTTTTCATCCAAACTCCCCTCCAGGCCCCTGCCCTGGCTCAATGGGAAACAGAAGAACCACCTGGCAGTGATCTGGGCCAGTGCCACAAGTGTCCCCAGGCCCACAGAGATGAAGTCCACAACAGATGGCATCAGGGCTGTCTGGTGCATGAAGAGGCCCCAGGAACCCAGGTCTCAGGGCAGAGCCACCTCTGAGGAGCAATCTTACCCAGGAAGGCTGGCGCTGGCCCAGGTAAGGGTCACTCGGCCGCCTCCCCCACTAGCGGTAGCTAAACACAGACTGGCCAGAAGGAAACACTTGGGGCACTCTTCACCTGCAAGAGGAGGCGGGCAGGCTGGGAGGGCCAGAGCGAGGCCCTCTGGGCACATCAGGAGAGGTGACCCACTCCCTCTGTCGGAAGCCAGGAATGGCTGGAGGAAGCACTGAATTGCAGAGAGAAGTTCGTGACACATTTACCAGGGCAGGGAGAAGGCGGCTGCAACACGCCTCCACGTTCTCTTGTTAAGGGTGCCGGAGGGCAGCCTATCCAGGAGGCTCGGCAGATGGAGGAAGGTCTGTATTTTACAGAAGACGTTTCTGTGTCTCCTGGGCCGTCAGACGGGTCCTCCTGTTTCAGGTGAACTAAAACGTTTGCTCAGTGTCATGGTTTCTACCACTAGGAGGATGGAAAAGGAGAAGCACTCTGGTCTTGAAGGCTGGGCCTCCCGTCTCCGCCTGGTGGACTGCTGGAGAGTTCTTACAGGCTGCGGACTGTTGCCTGGCGCAGGGGTGACTCGATGCTGGGCGGGTGGTAGGTGGTGGGGGGGGGACGACCTCAGCAAAGGCAGAGGACTTCCGGGAGGAGAAGACACAGTGAGCCGCATCTCCAGCCCCAGGTCCCTTTAGTCACCCGTCCACCAGCGTGCTGCGGGCGCTTGGGGTGTGGCCAGAGGCACCAGTAGAACCTACAGGATCAAAGGTAGAGCAGGTGGACCGGGCACCACTCTGGGGGCAGCCGTGCATGTCTGCCCTACTGTCACAAAGTCTCCTTCACAGCGGAACGTGCAGAGGGACAGGGAGAAACCACCACCGAGGCTGACCAGGAGGTGTAATCCCGCTGTCCCCTGAGGTCCTGCTCCCAAGGGAGTGACCGCACTCAACGTTCCATCTCCTCAGGTCAGGTCTGCACCAGGTTTCGTCAAACAAGAAGCCAGTGAACTGGCATTTTAGGAAAACGAGGACGGAGGTTTATGCATATCCGTGCTTGTGCTTTTGCATTTCTATTTGTTTATTTTACATTCTGACAATCCCTCAGTTTCTTAGCAAAGTTCCTTCTGAGATGGTCCCATTGGCTCCGGGTTGCCCAGAAGAGGCATGTTGTTTTCTCTGGTTAGGACATCACTTAGGGCAGCTAGGGGCCCCAGCTGAAGCAGCAGAGGGTGGCGTTGTGTACGGAGCAAACTCCTGAGAGCAGCCTAAGGGAGGTCACCAGGACCGCAGGCTCCTTCCCACTCGGGCCGTCCAGAAGCTTCTTAAAGTCAGACCGAGCCAGAGACCTGTCCCAGGCCTCCTGGGCTACATGGGCCTCAGCAGCCGAGCGCTGTGCTTACCTGTAAGTGATTTGAGCATCTGCCGGGGGGCTCGGGCGGGATCTTGATTTCATCAGGTGACATGTTCCGAACTCTTTCAGAAAAGGAGGCTGTGGAAAGAACAGAGAAGAATTCTGTGGGTGGGTGGGTGGCTTAGGGTGGGGGACAGACATGGACAATACCCCCCCCCAAAAAAAAGGCCGATAAAACATTTTCGAGGAGGGATACACACTATGAAACAGTAGAACAGGGTGTTTGGAGTAGCACTCCGAGGGGGTGCATGTGAGTTGAGATCAAATGACCAGAAGGAGCCGGCATGTGCCAACCCAGGGGAAGAGAAGGTCAGGCAGAGGGCATGAGCATAAAGATGGCGTGTGGCCACGTCACAGCAGTTCACCCACGAAAGGCTATGTCCCGGGGTGCGCTGGTGGATGTTTAACACCCAGCTGGGAGGTGGGGAGGGGCACAGCCACGACCTGCAGCATCTGCCCATTTCTGTGGTGTAAATTTTCCCCATGGCTAATGTCAAGCTACCAATGTGAAGTCGCTGAACTTGAAGCTGGGAAGAGATGTGCACACCGCTGGCTCATAACGTGACCAGCTCCAGCCCCCTAGGGGCTCTGCCCCTGAAACACCCTCCCAGAATTCTGGAAAGTCAGAGTTGCTTGGTGCCATCCTTCTCACCTCAGGCTCTCCTACCCAGGCTACAGGAGCAGCTCAGGGTTCCCTAGGCTTCGCGACTCAAAGCACTCAATACTGCCTTGTGCATAAATGACATTTACAAAAGGACCTGTTGGTTATTAGCTTAGGGCCCTTTAACTTTTTTTTTTTTTTTTTTTTTTTTTTTGCGTTACGCCGGCCTCTCACTTTGTGGCCTCTCCCATTGCGGAGCACAGGCTTCGGACGCGCAGGCTCAGCGGCCATGGCTCACGGGCCCAGCCGCTCCGCGGCATGTGGGATCCTCCCGGACCGGGGCATGAACCCGCGCCCCCTGCATCAGCAGGCGGACTCTCAACCACTGCGCCACCAGGGAAGCCCCTAACGTTTTTTTTTAAAATTAATTAATTAATTATTTTTTGGCTGCAATGGGTCTTCGTTGCTGCACAGGCTTTCTCTAGTTGTGGCGAGCAGGGCCTACTCTTCGTCCCAGTGTGTGGGCTTCTCATTGTGGTGGCTTCTCTTGTTGCGGAGCTCGGGCTCTAGAAGCACGGGCTCAGTAGTTGTGGCACGTGGGCTCTAGGGCGCAGGCTCAGTTGTTGTGGCGCACGGGCTTAGCTGCTCCGCGGCATGTGGGATCTTCCTGGACCAGGGCTCGAACCCGTGTCCGCTGCACTGGCTGGCAGATTCTTAACCACTGCACCACCTGGGCAGTCCACGGCCCTTTAATAGTAAACTAATCAACCTGCTCTAGGTCCACTTCTTCTTGGGAACAAAAGGTCTGATTCTGAAGTGAAGAACCACAACTCCCAAGGGGCAATTCCCTTGGAGATCTGCCCCTGCCCACCCAAGCTTCTCTCTCTCTCCACTCCCCTCCGTGCTGCCTCTGGCCACCCTTGCGACTGCAGAGTTGTGCTCTGGATCACTCAGACAATGCGCTGTTTGTTGTAAGATTCTGTATGTGCTTTTAAAATGTTCTCTCATGAAAAGGACTATACAGTGAGCAAACAGCAGGCGGAGCGGGGTGGGGCAGGATGAAAGCAAAGACTGCAGAATCCAGCACCAACGACACCCGGCAAGTACTTACTGGGTACCCGCCATGTGCCTGGCCCCAGGCGAGACTCCTTAGCCCCAAGTGGCTGCCTGGACTGCCTGGGGATGGCCTAGCGAGCCTTCCCCTTCTCTCCCAAGGCTGGGTTAATATTTTCTTAGCAGATAAGCTGCTTTGATCTCTGCTTCGAGCTTCACTAGCCTCAGCTGCTGCCACAGGAGCCTGCACACACTGTGAACACTGAGGCTGGGGCCCAAGCCCAGAGACAGTCTCCTAACCTGGATACACGTGCCGATTCTCACTGTCGGTGGATTCTCACTGGACGTGCCCCAGGAACAGAGCACTAGAGCTGCCATTTTGGGTGAAGGGAAGAGGACAGAGACTGGGTGACATATCCTGCTGTGGACTGAAACACCAGTGCAGCCCGGGAGCAGTTTTCACCACAGAACCATGCGCTTCTCTTTGTCCAGCACCATCCTCCTGTCTCCTGAAGCAAGGGACACCCAGATCTGGCAGGAGTTCAATCTCATCCTCACTTCCTCCTTCCTCCCAGCTCTGGGAGAGGCAGGAGGCCTAAGCCTGAGGCTCAAGCAGGCTGCAGAGGCCTGCGGAGAGCGGAATCAGCTGGGCTGTGCCGGTCCTCGCATTTCTTAAGCATCAGCAACAGAAGCAAGGAGGGCTGCGGCAGCTTTTGGGCCGCGGCAGAGAGGGTTAAGGCTTCCCTGGGGTGGAGAGTGTGTGTGCACGCCACAGAGAAGACAAAGAGTGCCCTCTGGCATTTGCCGGGAAAGCCTTTTGGAAAAACAGGGTGTGGCACTGTTGCCATTAGCAACCCGCCACACTTGGGCTCAAATGGTATACAGTGTGACAGGGAGAGGGAGAGCCCCTGCTGAGCTCATGGGCTTGGAACTGGGCTAAGAATGAGAAAATTCCTCGGGAGTAGCTGGCAAATGAAGGGGTACATTCAGGAAACTCGATAAAAGTTTACCTCACAGATTTCAGCAGCAATCTTTCTGTGATTCTGTCTTTCCTAAGTCTCAAAATGAATCGAAAGCAGAAGACATCAGACCCACATATATGGCTATTGAGCAGCCAGCCTAAAACCATTTTCCCTGGAAACACATCGAGATGTGTATCTAGGCACATGGGGGCAGCTCGCGTCTGTGGCTGCTCCAGGTCTGCTTGGGGTGTTCCAGGCAGGCAGCCATACTCAGGATCTGAGAAGCCTGCCGTCAGCATGATTCACCCCAGGTGCGTGCGTGCCCAAGTCCCAAAACAGTGCTGGTATCCATAGTTGCCAGGTATAAATCTGCGAAGGAGCAGCTAGTCAGCTGGGCTTCTGTAATGGCAGGAGTGAAGGGATGCCTGGCAGGTATTGTGGGGCTGGAAGCAGGAGGCAGCGGAGTGTCTCTGGCTCACTAGAGACCCAACTGGCTTACCACCCATGGCCACTGTTCAGGCCCACCCACGGGGCACCAGTGGGGCAACTGGAGGGGATGGCAGGATGCCCACGCTCAGCTCTGTCAGGCAGCTACAGCGCTGGGGAGCCCTGGACCAGCTTCTCTGCTTTCCTTTGCTCCATTAAACCTGGGGCTGTCTATACATATGAAAACGCTGCCTACACCAGCAGAGCAACCCAAGTCCCACAACCAGAGGCATGAACAAAAGGAGCTGGAAAAAAAAAAAAAAGGAGCTGAGGGGCCTCCCTCGTGGTGCAGTGGTTGGGAGTCTGCCTGCCAATGCAGGGGACACGGGTTCGAGCCCTGGTCCAGGAAGATCCCACATACTACAGAGTAACTAAGCCCGTGAGCCACAACTACTGAGCCTGTGTGCCACAACTACTGAAGCCCGCGCACCTAGAACCCGTGCTCCACAACAAGAGAAGCCACCGTGATGAGGAGCCCGCACGCAGCAACGAAGACCCAACGCAGCCAAAAATAAATAAATAAAGGAAGGAAAAAAAAAAGGAGCTGAGTTCAGGCAGAGGGGATGACAACCACAGTCCCAAGAGCAGAGGCCATTCTGCACAGGTCAACTACTCCCTCCTCAGTGAGAAATGGGAAGAGGAATCCAAACTATGAGGCTTAAAGCTCCACCTGTGTTCTCTGTGGGTGACTGGATTCAAGAAATTGCAGTTTAACTCTACAATGAGATAATATTAGCAATAAAAAAAAAAACAAAAACACTATGGATATTCTCAAGGACGTGGATGGTCTCAAAAACACTATGGGAGGGACTTCCCTGGTGGCGCAGTGGTTGAGAATCTGTCTGCCAATGCAGGGGACGTGGGTTCGAGCCCTGGTCCGGGCGGATCCCACATGCCGCGGAGCAACTGGGCCCGTGAGCCACAACTACTGAGCCTGCGCATCTGGAGCCTGTGCTCCGCAACGAGAGGCCGCGACAGTGAGAGGCCCGCACACCGTGATGAAGAGTGGCCCCCGCTCGCCGCAACTGGAGAAAGCCCTCGTGCAGAAACGAAGACCCAACACAGCCAAAAATAAATAAATAAATAAATAAAAAGGTAATGTGAAGTTCCTTAAAAAAAAAAGTCTAAGAAGTTTATTAAAAAAAAAACACTATGGGAAGTGTTAAGAATCTAGACGAAAAAACAAGCAAACAAACAAAAAAGCAACAGAAAACCCCCCAACAAACTGTGATTCCATTTGTATCAATGGTTCTGAACCAGGGGCAATTCTGCCCCCCAAGGCAACATCTGGCAGTGTCTGGAAACATTCTTCGTTGTCATATCTGGCAGGACGAGGGGGTTGCAATTGGCACCTAGTGGGCAGAGACCAGGGATGCTGCTAAAACACTGTACAGTGCACAGGCCAGGCCCCCACTGCAAAGAATTATCCAGCCCGAAATGTCAATCGTGCCGAGGCTAACAAATCCTGATTTATAAGAAATCCTAAAAAAGACAAAACTACAGTGAAGAAAGTAGATCACTGCTTGCCTGAGGCTGAGGGAGGAAATGTCTGCAACGGGAGGGGTACGGGGGAACACTTTGGAGTCATGGAAATGCTCTATGTCACGACTGTGGTGGGAGTTAACACTAAAAGCTGACGAATCTTACTCTGTGCAAGTTACACCTCAACAAAGCTATTTTCAAAAAGTGACAAAGGAGAGGAAAAGTGAAGGCTGGCTGTGGAAGAAGTCAGGGCTGAGATGGCTGGTGCCCACACACATTCCACCGCTCGCCAAGCGCTGCCAGCAAGAGTGGAGGGCGCTGCCTTGTTGGGCTCCTGGGCAGGCGCCTCTGACCCCACGCTCCACCCCCAGCGTCCTGGTGGTGAACAGCAGGGGCCGGAGGCGAGACGAGGCCGAGGCTCCAGTCCATCACCCACTTGGAGAAGGCCACGGGCTGCCTGGTGAGGCTGTGCTCTGTCCTCTCTGCCCGTGAAGCCAACTGGGCCACCCCTACAGCACCATTTTCCAAGCGCAAACTCTAAGGTTTTAGGAAAATTTGGGTTTTTATAGGGTAGGAAAGACTCATACCCCACTCATCAGAAAACTCGGAGATAAAGGCAGGATCCCACTGAGCACCTGGGCTGCTCAGTGTGATCACGCTGCTACCCAATCCTTCCTCAGAAGACAAATATAATGAACAATTTTCAGTTCTTTCAGTCTGGAAAACCAGAATGGGTCCCTATCTCCCACCACCGGTGAAGGGATCCTATCCGGAGAAAGGTCAGGTTGGAGGGGCTGCAGGAAGGAGCATTTCCAGGCGGAGTCCGGGGCTTCCCAGGGCAGAGTAAACACGTCTCAAAGGCTCCGTCTGGAAGCAGAGGAGCGGGCTCTGCAGGCCGCCTGAGAAGCAGGAACCCGCTTTGTGAAGACAAGTGGAGCAGGCGGAGAGAGGCGGGCACAGTCGCCACAGAGAGGGAAGGCCAATCCCCTCGCCGTGAGGCCGGGCCAGGCCCTGGGAGAGCCCCTCACAAAGTCTGCCGCCAAACTGAAGGGGCTCAGAGGCTTCCTAAAAGGATTAAGAGGCTGAGGTTAACACGGAACTGGGATGACACGTGTGTCATTTTCCAGAAATGTAACTGCCCTGGCCAGTCCCACAAACGGCCCCAGACCCCAGGGCTGTGAGGCATGTTCCCTCCTGGGGACAGAGCAGGGTGCCAGCAGAGGCCACATGTTTGCTCCTTGAGCCCGTGAATATGCAGCGGAGGGGGCTGTGGGGGTACAAGGCCGGAGGACGGACGCAGGGCACAAGGGGAACGAGCTCCCAGCTGAAGGGGGCCCTGAATCCCTCTTGACAACGCTGGCAACTGACCAAAGCCCAGTGAAGCGCACCGTGAATCTGATTGTCAAAGAAGAATTGTTCCCTGGGTGTCTTATCCAGACGTCTTAGAAATTGCCAAAGGCCCTGTGAGAGCGGCAGAGCAGCTGCCTTGGCCGAAGCAGAGAGAAGCCGCCTGCGTGGCTGGAAGCCAGTTGGCTCTGCGTGAGGCTCCCCGCCCCCCCGCACCAGGATACTCACCAACTAATTCCTGGGGATCTCGCTTTTCTACTTCTGGGTTATCCTGCAAAAGAAAAACAGAAACACAAGGAGTAAGCCCGGGCCTCCTGACCCACAGTCACTCTCCTCACTGACACCACTCAGGATTTTTAAGGAAGGAGAAAAGGTGAAAGCACCGTAAAGAGCCCCGAGAGTGAGCGGACACTTTGGGGGATCCTGGGACCCCTGAACCTCCGAATACCCCTTCTTCCTTCATCAGAGCAGCTGGGATGCTCCAGGCACCTGCTTCTGTCTCTCCTCCACGGCCTCCAGCAGTGACCAGTACCCCTAACGCTGAGGAGAGCAAACACCAGCCACACGACAGCTGCCCATCTGGATGGACCCTGCTCGCTGCTCTCCCCGGGCCCGGCCAGCCGCCCCAGAACACCAGCGCCTCCAGCTGGTGCCCAGGAAGCAAGAGGTGGCTACTTTACAACACGAGAATCACAAGACCAAAACGCAAAAGACTGTCTGCTCCCAAGAGATTTTTCTTACTCTCAGTTTCAGCAAAAAAAAGAAAGGCTTTATCGCAAGGGGGTAGCTCATGGAACCCGCGGGGCAGGCAGGCAGCGGGCCTTCAACAAGTCACGGCACTGGCCCCAGGAAGGCTCAGCTTGGAAGCAGCCTCGCTCTGGCTCTCGCTGGCCCACCTGTCAGCTCTCCTTACACTGGCTCACAGTCTCGCCAAAGAAAAGCTTTCTCTGACCCTTCCTGCAAACCCCCGTCCCCAGCACTCACTCCCACACGTCCTTCAGTTCTGGCGGCGTGCAGAGCCCTAGGAGCAGAGGTTTCTCATCGGAATGCTCTGGACTCGCTCTGGGTTTCACCGCTCAGAGCAAATGCTTCATCTAAACCAAATCAGCCCAGAGAAGGCACCGTCCCAGCCGTGGTCACACACCCGGGCACCTTGGGGAGGAAGGCCTTTCCTTGCTTCTGCTGCCCCAAATGCACAATGGCAGGAACGTACCTGTTTTCCCCATTTCTGGGGAAACCGAGCCCCTCAAACACAGTTAGGTCAGGGGTCTCAAGTGCCATAACACAGTAATGATCACAGTGGCAGAAGCTGTGCTCATGAGATTGTTGGATCTCACGCCCCCCGCCCCCCCCACCCCCGCCTCTGGCTGGTGAGGGAGGAGCTAAGACGGTAAAAACTCTGGACCCGATGGGCACATGGAAACGGCCATGGAGCTCTGTGCACTCCGCTGACACGAAGCAATGTTACACTGAGGTGACGTCTCAGAAGGGAAGGGGCAGGAAGACCACCCCCCAACCCCAGGCTCCACGCCAAGACCAGAGCAGTAGTTCTTAGCCCCCTTCTCCAAAAAGTCCCTCCTGGTTCTGGGACAGGCCCAAACCCCCTCATTCTTCGGCACACTGCAGTTATTCATTCGACCTGGATGGGCATAATGCCCAGGCCAGGTTGCTTAGCAAGTGTCTCCTCCAGCCACCCACCCCCTGCTGATCAGGTGGGCAAAGCGGAGGTGCACCCAAGGGCTGCCGTGCCAAATTCAGGCTGGTTATCCATCAGCTGCTCTCCAGAGAGAGCCGGTCTCCACGGGTCCCACAACAGTCCCTTCGTAGCTGTGACTCTGGAGGAACCAATGTTAAAGAGCACGGCAGTAACAAAACGTTGGACTGTAAAAGGTCCTTAAATTTTCCCTCTAGGGGACAGCTTTCTGGGTGCTAATTGTGGCAAAGCATCAGTTGGGTACATCCTTCCTCCCCTCCCGGGCCATTTGGCTGGTCGTACAGGACTGACCCGTTAATTCTTCAAAGGCCCCCTAGAGCTCTTTCCCAAAGCACTGCCCCAGCCCCTTTCGTGGCCAAAATGCAGAGCAGCGAGGAAAGAGGCAAGATATCCACGTGGGAATTCAGCACATCTGCTCCGGAGGCACAGGAAGTTAGTCTCCAAAGAGGCAGCTTCTCTTCAAAGGGGAAAGTACTTGTTCACACCAGGGGCTCCTCGGTGAGATTAAAGGGTGTGAGGCTCCCTGGGGCTCTCCTGTGCCCCAGCGAAGGGAGGGGGAGGGGTGGGGAGAGGTGGGGATTCCTGCGTCTCACAAGGCCCTGGCCTGGCTGAGCTGAGGTCTGTTTAGTCACGTCTCTGGGAGAAAAAGAAATGATCGGGCGAAGTCACAAACAGGAAGTTCTCTCCACTGCTTTCAGTCGTTCCTTTTCTGGCTCGGCTCCTCATCTCCCCCCAAGTTTATCTTTCTACACACGCCACAAAACAAAAAAAATTAACTGGGTAGTTGGTTTCAATCTTCCAACTAGTCTAGTCTCTGGTTTTCTGCCCTCACAGGGTGCGCGCGCGCACACACACACGGACAGAAGGCGGCGGGTAGTGCCCAGAGTGCACCCCAAGTCCCCTGGAGCTATGGCTTCTTATTCAATCCCAAACCCAGCACCCACAGAAAGAAGCCCCACCCCACCTTCCCAGCAGCGGAATCCAGCTCCACACTATTCCCAAGCAAAGTATCGACCAATGGACCATGGACCCAACCACGAGAAGATTCTCCTGCCTTGAGAGACTCCTGAAAGCTAAACGTATAAATTAGCCTCCACAGACTGGAAGCCATACAATTCTGCACAAAGGTCTCCTGGAAAGACTTTGGAATCTGTCGCTGTTCAGATCCCCCATGCATGTCACATGTACCCGTGTGACTCCTAAGGCCCTGGAGAATCAAACAATGGGACTCTGTGACTCCTGGTGGCCACACCTTGTTACACTTTAGAATGGAATTCCTCTGCCCTCTGACGTGAACAAGCTGGCTGTGGGCCTGCTGAGCTCCTGGGCATGTGGTGTGGTACCAAGGTGCCCCGAAGAAGAAAGCCGACGACACGGTGCTTCCGGATCCTAAAGCAGCCTAACCCCCCGACCCGCTGCCCTGACCCTGAGAATAAGGGCTTGGCTCTGCCCCACAACAAAGGGCCTGAGCCACAGCATCACATGCTCGTGGAATGGAGTTGGGTGCAGGACTTCAAGTGATGCTGACGAAAGCCCAGTGAGACCACTGAAGACAGGGGTCGAATACGCCAAAGATGCTTTTTAGAACCACTTATGCTCAACTGTCCATTGAAGCAAGTTTCATCCAATGAAAGCAGCCTTGCGGGGAGGAGAGGGGGGTACACATTCAAGACAAAGACCCAGAGAGACAGTCATGCCTCGGATACCAGGAATTCAGCACAAAAATGAACAATGCACCCCATGAGAGTTATCTCAGAAGCCAGCCATGGTGTCAGAAAAACAACGGATGGAGTATTTAAAAGGACAGAGCTAAGGAGATGGAAGGTTCACACCATTAAACTGCCAGTAGTTCAAGAAACTGGCTTTATAAAACCTGCTATAGAGAGTCTCAGTATGTCCTTAAAGAGACAGAAAGGGAGCAGCAAAGCGGATACAAGTAAAATGCAACAAGAACCCACTGTTCCTTTTCTTCCCCCAAAGCGGTGTTTCCGAAGACACACAGGACACCTGCCCTGACTTGCGTGAATCCACCCTCCCTGGCCTCCAGGTGGATATTCAGTTCTTCAAAGAAATGAACTCAGCCTGGAGATCTATTTACCAGACGGTTGGATGTCTGCGTCAGCCGGGAGGCATGAAGCCCACAGCCCAGAGACCTGGCCAGACCTGGACGTGACAGCACATGCCCCTCAGACACAGCAGGCTGAGCACTTTTCCTGCCTAGGAGAGCATCTCACATAGCAGTTCCTAGGAGAAAATACCAGGTAAACCGTTTCTGCTCTCTAGTTCAAGTCCAATTAAGACACAAGGAAAAACAAAGCAAAACAAAATCCACATCTTCCTAAGAAGCCTAGTGAGAAGACAGGAAAGGGAGGGGAGGAAAGAGAGCTCTGAGGCCTCTTCAGACTGTGTGCACCCCTCCAACGTCCCTGGGCTTCACTTCAGTCCCACCGACCGGGGCACGAGTGGCTGCCGCGGGCTGGGGGTCGTCCCTGGAGGACTGTGGTCTGAACCCAACCCCGCTGACTTCTTCATCGACTGTGCCTGAGATGTGGAAGAATCTAACGGCCATGGCGGGGGCCTTGTCCTCAGGAATTACAGAATCTGAAATGCGGTTCCCCCTGCAGAGAATATAAAAGTCTGGCCACTGGCACAACTATGACTGGAGCAGAGGAAGGAAGGAAAAACACTATGGCTCCACGAAGCAGGACAAGCTGCCATGTGAGCTGGGAGGATTTACTCAGCAGAGGAGTAGCAGCTTCTGGTGGGGAGAATGGAGGTTTATTTACAGCCAACAATGCTTCATCAACCCTTCCTGGAACCAGCCCCACCAAGTGCACTCAAAGGTCTGGCGTCCAACTTGAGACAAAGCAATGTAGCTTCCGGCAGCTGGATTCTGCCAAACCTCAATGTCGCCTTTTCTCCCCAGTTCTGGGAGCATTAGGCACAGAGAAAGCACTCTGAAGAGAGGGCAAAGGGTAGCCTCTCCCCACTCCAGGGGAAAGAATGCTACAGACTTATGTTTTCTGTTGGATGATGTAATCCTGCATCTTAAAAGTAGGGGGCAGCTGGGGAGGCAGATTAGCAAAACAAAGCCTCCCAAATCTTCTGTCCTCTCAGACCAGGGGCTGCCCCAGGAGTTATAACGCCCTAATGACATCTCACTTCATGAGCAGGGTACCCACTTAAAAATGAACCCTCACTGTGGCCTGAGGCGCCTGGGGGCTCCCTGCTGGCCATTTCAGCACTCTCCCTGCTCCAGGATCCTGGCAAAGCTGCTCCCTGGATCACCCCCTCCCCACTCCTGCCTAGTAAGCCCCATTCAGACTTCAGACCTTGGTTCAAGGAAGCTTTCCTCCACCACACCCGCATCTGGCCAACGAGACATCTGCCCTATTCTGTGCTCTCACTGTCTTATTTACCACTGTGTTCCCAGCACCTGCAATAATCAGTGCCCTGCCCACAACAGGTGCTCAACCACTGATGACAGACAGACACACACACTTTCTCCCTCTCTCTCTCCTTTCTAATCGGTTAACTGCCCAGTGGTCAGTTTTTCT